GAAAGGAAGGGAGGTGGATGGAGGGAGAAAAGAGAGAAAAGAGGGAGAAAGGGAAGAGGCCATAATGCTGGGAAGAATACGAATGATCCTTTCCCTTTCCTTTCCTTTTTTTTTTTTTTTAACATCTCTCTCCCTGAAAGGAAATGCTATTTTCCTTATATCTGTGCTCTATTAAGAAACACAATAAAGTTATACCATAACAAAGCTAGCTAGACATACTAAGTCACCCACACAAAGTTGTATAACTCTTAATTCTCCTGTACAATGTTGTTCAGAAAAAAAAAATCTGTCCCAACAGAAAAGGAGACTTAGCGTCTACATCTGGTTGTTTTGGGGGATTATAAACTACCTAATAGAGTTGACCCCAAAAATCTCTAAAAGAGATTTGGGTGAAAAATCCAAAGAGGAATTTTACACAGCCCCAGTGTTGAAATAAAAACTTATTAACTAAGTAGACTCTACAGGGAAGTAGAATATTAATAGAGAGAAAAAAATAAAATAAAAAAGAATTAGGAAAGTTCATGAGTAACAGGAAACACGCTTTCAAGAGTTGGTCAGAAAAATTAGCACTACTGTCTCACTCCCCTCTGAGGGACCCTTGACTAAAGTAAATTATCATTATCATACATCCTTCAAAGGCAAACTTTACTAATGCAAATTTTGTTCATTTAATACTTACGACACACCTGTCAGCTGAGAGTTACATTTTTCTAGGATAAAAGCCCTCTTCTAATCTAAGGCATCAGTAGAAAAGTCATAAAGTCTGAACAGAGTTTTAAAAGGCTAGCCTCACTAAATCTCCACAACTGAAATTCTCACTTAATCTCTCCACTCTACTGGGGCTGGGGGAAAATCTTAGAATACATTTAAGCCTATTCATTTTGCTCCCTCTCTAATTTATCATATATAACTCTATAAGAGCAATCAGAATTGTTATAAAGAGCTGAATGGTTAGGAAAACACCTTGCAAGAAAGCAAAAGGAAGAGCAATCATTAACTTAATAGGTACCAGAGGCCATATATATATGATCTCATTTAAACCTCATACCATAACAGCCCTTTAAAGTATCTACAGTTGACATTTCCAATTTGGAACCTGAGTTTCTACACAGTTGAGATACCAAAAGTCACAGATAAAAAGTTAAACAGCTAAGATTCAAAACCCAGGGCAGCTAACTCCAAAGTCTACATGTTTTATGTTGTGTCACACTATATCTTAAGTCAGAAGCAGTCAGTCAGGAGAACTTTATTGTACAGACATTTCTCTGGCACTTTAGTACAGCTTGAAACCGGTCACTTACTCCTCTGAGACATAATTTTTTCACCTGAAAAATGAAGTTATTCACCACACTGCTTACTTTATACATCATTACCATGAGATTATTTATTGTGATTGCTATTTAGATTCTATATACCTAAAATAAAGTGGTTTCTCTTTGTGTCCTGTTTTTCCCTGAATGAATGAAAAAAAAATTACAGGACACCAGCAGCATTTATAAGAAGCCAAATTCATTACTCTGTTATTTTTTAAATAGAAGCTTTCCTGTCTACAAAATATAATTACTTCTTTCAGTTCCCGGTTTCATCCCCAAAGCTAAGTCTTGACTATAGAGGGGCAACATATCCTGTCGTAAGAAAGAGCTCCTGTGTTGATGAAAAGAAGGATAAAAAGTAATCCCTAATTCTTACTTGCAATTCTGATTATCGCATAATCACAGTTTTTTCTTAAAGGAACAGCTAAATACACGCATACCAGGTGTCTCACACTCTCCTGGCAATGAACAAGGAATTAGTTCTATGGGAACAAGGATAGCTCAGTGGGAGCAGCAGTATATGTGTATACAGTTGACTGGTGATCCTGATCTTATCTATTTAATAGAGTGTCATATGTGCCAGTTAGCCCAGGATAGTGTGTACCCTTTAACCCTGAAGAGTTTTTGTGATTATATAATAAATCATATGGCCATTATGCTATTAAAAATGATAAATCACTTTTTCCCTATTAGAAATCAAGACAGTGGCCAAGAATAGCACAATAGATATGAAAGAAAGAAGACACATAATCAATGCCATGTGAAAAGAAACAATAAGAAATGCTGGAAACAACAAAAAAGCAAGTAATAGTTAATTGTATATTTGAGTCTTCTTATAAACTAACCACTATTGTTAATTTTAGTTATCTTTGGCTGCCAAAATAGTACAATTTAAAAATATATACAGAATCAAACAGATTAGTGCTTTGGGTCAGCATGTCATAGGAGAGTGAACCAATTAACAAAACAGAGTGAGAGCAATTACTGATCCTGGCCTCTCACAGTGACTACTCTCTGACCTGTGGTTCAGGCTATACCTAAGGTCTGCTCTCATTAATGTTGTGGGAATAACCTATAGAAGGAAATCCTGTATTGGGTTGAAAATGGACCCCCTAAAGACTCATTTCTACCAAGAACCTCGAAATAGGACCTTATTTAGGAACAGGGTCTTTACAGATACAATTAGCTAATAAAAGATCATACTTGATTAGGGTGGTTCCTCAATCCAATGACTGGCGTCCTTATAAGAAAACAGGAGGACACACAGATACAGGGAATAAGGCCACGGGACAATGGAGGAAGAGATTGAAGTGATGTAGCTACAAGCTAAGGAATGCCAGACTGTCAAGAGCCAGGAGAAGCTAGGAAGAAGCAAAGAAGGATCTTTCTCAATAGGTAGCATGGCCCTGACAACACTTTGATTTTAATTTCTAGCCTCCAGAACCGAGAGAATAAATTTCTCTTGTTTTGAGCCACCAAGTTTACGTTAATTTGTTACAGCAGCCCTAGGAAACTAATTCACATTTTGTTAAATTATCCATTAGCATCTTTTAAGATTCCTCTATTTATACAACTGATCGAGGGGCAATAAACAGTGGTGCATGTAAGGCAATACCTGGACTACATGCCCCAACAAAGGAGAGCCCTGTTGCCCATCTTGCAACCCTACACTGAGCCCGTGAATAAAAAAAGTAGCTGCTCCAGAGCTGAGCAGCCCTTCTTCTATTGAGTGCAGGGGTATTGACCAAGCTGTACCTCATCCTTCTTCTCCTGAATGCGTCGTCTCTCTGCCTCAATAGCCAGCTTTTCCTGGATTTCCTGAGCAATTTCACAGTCTTGCTGTTCACTAAAAACAAAGATGAAAACAACATGAATGAAGAAAATAAGGAATGATTTCTCCTAAAAATAACACAATTTACTGAATACTATCCACCAAAGAATATTTTTATGTCACTTAATTCTCACAACAATGATACAAAGAGGCTGACAATGTCACAACTTGCAGATGAAAAAACTGAGGCCTAGAGTATTGAAATTATTTCCCTAAGATCACAGAGAAAATAAGTGGCAGAACCAGAATCGGATTCCCAGACACTACAATGGAAAGCTCAATGCTTTTTCTACACTACCATATCACTTCACCTTACTAGGACCACTCTACTGACAGACAGGCATGTTTTCTCACAATTCTGCAAAGGAGATGTAGACTGTGAGATTAATGTCCACAAATAACCAAATACGTAGCAAGTACACAGAAAAACATTGAGAGCACGCTCACTGAAATATCAATAACACTGTGGTTACCTAAAGAGGGTAGTTTGACTTTAAAATGGTTTCTATAAATTTTTAATTAGATTTTTTTTCAATTTCAATAATGCTTTATGGAAGCATTATTGTAGATTCTCCAGCTTAAGTTCCCAGTAGAAACCTCTTTGGTCGATTTCAGTTTTCTGAATACTCTGGCTACTAAGAAAATCAAACATTGTTAACACTGCTGCTACCAGTTTTGTTGTTTTGGCATTTATGCATTCGACAAAGATTTAAACACTGCCTTTTATGGTACAGGCACTATGCTTAACACTGAAGATACAAAAATGAATAAATCTTCATCTTGTGCTCAGAAGTTCCCAATATATTTTGGTCGAAGAAACAAGATGAATCACTTTGGTGGGAGAAACAGATCCTTTAAAACAGCACTTATAAAACAGTAGTTTCAACAGAAAATGGAGTTCGGATGTCTCAAAGACGCCTGCAAGTCTTCTAGTCTCAGGCTGTGAGAAAAGTTAATGGGCAGCTTAAAACTCTAGAATGCAATAGCTCTGGAGAGCCAACCTTTAGGAAAAACTGCTCGGAAAGGTGAACATAAACATGTTTAGAGTTTCCTATCTAAAAAGATGCTGGAATAAAATTACAATTGTGATCTTTATATATATAGTTTGTTTGCTAAACAAATATATCTTCTTAGTTGCCCCTTGCAAGTTGAACTTGAAATAACTCAATGAATCTCAGTCTTGGTTATATATTCCATGTTTAAAAGCATTCTTTTGTTAAAAAGTGTTGGGGTGGGGGGTGGGTGGCAATATCCTAACTTCTCTGGAGGAACTGAAACCCATATATTCTATTCTAAACAAAACTGATGAATAAAGTAATAAAAATTATTCTCATTTGTATAAAGAAATGATCACTTTCAACATGTTTGGAAATAGGTAGATGTAGGTGAAAGTCGATGTGTGCACACACATGGGTGTGTATGTATGTGCCTACACATACACAATACAGAAAAGGAGGAAAATAATATACGACAGAGAACACAGGTTAAAAATGCAAGACGTTTTCAGAATCAGTGGAGAAATCACTGAACAAAATGTCTGCAGATTTGATTCCTGGTCTCGCAAGTGAATCATCCTCCTTCGTGTCATTTTATAAGCTATAAAAATTTGTGGACTTAATGATTTCATATTTAAGTCTAATATTCTATAATTCTTAACCACTCAACACAAAAAAAAAACCTGAAAATAATCTATTTAGAACAATTTTTACTAACATATCCTTTCATTCACTCACTTCTAATAATTAATAATTACACAAAATTATGATCTTAGTTTTCAGACTTCTCTATCTGGATCTCTCAAATTAACATGAAATCTGTACAGGAGTAAGCAATTACTAACTATATGAAAGGTGATAACAGAGGGAAGAAAGCAGAACCCACAGTAGAGAAGGCAAATCCAAATGAAGTGTTAAAGGTCACAAGTGACACAGAAGATGTATCTCCTAGTATATAAGGCTGAGATTAATTATTTCAAATCACATTTCCAAGAAAGATTAGTTCTGTTTCACTCAGCTAATTATAGACTCCTGAGGAAGTAAAATGGGAAAGTAGTCAACAATCTTGACAAGGTTAACTTTGGACAGGGGCCCCAGAACCAGACTGAGTGAAAGGTTCCACTTTCTTAAAATCTACAGCATTTAATCCTCCCCTTGATGTTCAACAGTCAAGAATGCCAGGATGTGAAAACTGAAAAACTTCCTTTCTAACTTACTTTCTTCCAACTAGGAATACCTCCAACACCCTGAATGAAGTCCAAGGCAGAAATATAATACCTGATTCCTCTCTCTCATTTAGAACCTATAATCCATCATTCTCCAAATCTGATTTATAGTTTACAGTGATTTATCTCAATTATCTCTCAATAATCTCATTATACTCAATATCATTACCTTAATTCAAGATCTTAAACTTCTGCACCAACCTCACAACTGGCTTTCATAACAGAGCACTGTAAATAACATAAAGGCCAATAATTTAGAATCCTGGAACATTCAAGCTCTGGCTCTCATCTAAACTGTTTGAACCTCCATACATCTCAAATCTGTCTCTTCTAACTCCAGTAACATTACTCTCAATTCAGGCCTCATCATCTCCCTCCCCTCTGTACCTCTATCACTCACTGTCCTCAATTCAAGCTTTATCACCTCTTAATCTGAGCACTACTCAACAGTTTCCTTCAATCTCACCCTGTCCAACTCTTTACTTGCCCAGCCCCCAGAGTAGGTCTCTAAATGAAAAATCTAATACTCCTTCAAATATTTCTATTATTTATAATATAAAATCTACAAAAAATAAATTCCTTAACATAACTTATATGACCTTTTGGTTTAGCTTTTGACTACTCTTCTGGTCTCATTTCCTACCTATATGCCTAACTGTACTTTCCATTCCAGAAATACTGAACATCTTGTAGCTATCATAAGATTCCAGGTCCTTTTAACTTCTTACCTTTGTGCATGCTCCTCCCTCTGGCTACAATGGTTTCTCCTAGTTACACTATAAACTCTTAATTAACTATCAAGGTTCTAAATATATCACCTGTTATCAGCATGGTTTTTCCTAGTCTCTTCTCTTTCATAGGCACGACATTTACTATCCAATTTTCTGTGCCTCATTCATGTATCTCTACATAGAAAATGTTCAGAGCATTTTCCTGAGGCCCTTAAAAGCAATGGCTATGTTTGTTCATTTCTGCTATCTCCAGTGAGTTTCATCGTGTCTAGTATAGCAAGAGTCAACAAGAATGTTTACTTACAAAAGTAAACATTAAGAAAGCTGAACAGAAAATGATAAAGTCCTCTTTACCATGAATAAAAGAGAAAGACAAACCCTTCCTCAAAGGCAGCAAAAATGAGTTTTTCCTGTTTATTTGAACGTGACAACTAAAGTAAACTAAAGTAAAATTGAGGGGTCCCTTCGATTCTTCCTTTACTTCTTCCTCCTCAAAACAATTAACTTGTGGTTAAATCCACCTTTGGAGATTTAAGTATAAGAGCTACTCACAAAAAAAAAAAGTGCCCTTCGAGCTTTAAAACACTGAAAAAGGAATAAAAAGTAATTGTGCTGGAAGAGAACTTAGACACGATCTTTCTACTTCCCTAACTATTATTAAAGGAGACTGAGAAAGAACTTTGTCAGACACTGAAGCTGTGAAGAGAACTGAGTGTACAATTCAGAGCTTTCCAGAAGATTCTGCCTCTACCTGAAAAGCAAGGGGTTCAAGGAAAATAACAGTGGGTAAATACCACTAGGAAATAAAAGAACCCAATACAATTCACAAAGTTCTTTCATATTCAGTATTTCACTGGATTCCCCAGACAACCTGTGAGGCAGAGATCACTTTCCCCATGTTGCAGGGAAGGAAAATTGGTGTACTAAATGGCTCAAAGTCATACAGTTAAAATATTAAGAGTTCACACCAGAATCCACGTCCCAAAACCTAGTCAAGCATTCCAACATCAAAATTTTTCAAATCAAAGAAAAGGATACACACACACACACACACACACACACACACACAATTTTCAATCTAATAGTGAAAGAAATCAGAGGCATAGAAGGAGTCTCCTTCTCTGCCCTGGTTGCTGGCTCAGCAGACAAAACCAGTCCTGCCTGGCATGATTCCCTCCCACTCCCTGAATCCTCACAGGTCCTTGTAGCGCTTCTGAAGCTGAGCCTGAGCTTTCAGGTCTTCCTCTTGGAGCTGCTTTGCCACCTGGAGATCGTGTTGGACCAAACGGTTCCGCTGAACATTTGATGCCAAATGATGCTCAACTGGACAGAAAGATTGAGGAGATGAATTACAATGCTTTGGCTTGTTAATAATAAACCTAATAATAAACTTAAGACCTTTCCATTAAAGAGCTTCACATCCATCACTTCATTTTATGCTCTCAACAACACTATATGACAGGCAGCACAGAAATTATTATTCCCATCTTTCCATTAAGTAAAAAGAGGATCAGAAAGGTTAAATAATTTGCCTTTGGGCACATGGCAACAATGGTAGTGCCAGGACTTCTACATCAATATTCTAGAGCCAGGGCCAGTGCTCTTTCTGCTCCAGAAGCTGCCACTCTATTTATAAACTACATTTTTCAATATTTAATTTTACACTGACAGATGAATTAATGATTCATAAATTACACATTCACAAATATGTACTTTGTTCAACCCATATAACGTAGATTTACTTTCCATATTTACATACATAAATTTTCAGAAAAATCCAGTCTAGATACCATCATTGCCTGGAAAAAAATGTTCAGGCCCCTATTCTAGGGGAAGAAATAGATCCCCATGCCAGTCTTCTACACACCCCAGATACATGTATAACCAATGTCTCCTTCCTACAACACTAAGGCAAGGGAAAAAGTTCAAGTCCCTCTTTTCTTCCATTGTACACAGCAGTCTTCTAACCCCTAGTAGCTGTCATACTTCAAAATACCCAGGACTTAATTCTTTACCCAGGTGTCATCTGCCTAGACAAATCCTTCAGAGGGATGAATGGTATAGCCAATGAAGGTGTTCTCACCCTGCCTCTCCCAAAGAAACCTGCCTCTGGGTACCAGTAATGAGAGCCATTACTCACTCTCTTGTTCCTGCAGGCTGTGGGCCAGGGTGTGGTCCTCTAGGACAGCAAAATCTCGACACACTGCAAAGGAAAAGGAAGAGCAGACATGAAGGCTCATTAGCAGTATTTTAAAGTAAAAAGAAAAGCATTTTGTTTACTCCAAAAAGCCAGTTCTAGTATGACCAAATTGATAACTCGCATTGCACAAAACAGTGACTAGTCAGTATAGTCTTCATTCACAAAAAACCACATAACACCTACTCAGTGCCAAGCACAGGGTATCACAAAATAATAGTTAGCTCTGGTCCCTGGCGTAAAGATACTGACCACAAAATCAGAACCCAGAGGTCTAGAAAATTCTAATCCACTTCTATAAAGGGAGAGCAAGTACTGCTGAAATAATGAGACAAGAATGTTCTGCATATTGCAGCTGAGGGAAAAGTGGCCACATGGCCAGAGGAGTTAAATAAATCTAGCCTCTGCCTCAGCCACCTTGGGTTCAGAGGATCCTCACCCAGAGATTATGTTTACCCTGGTGTCAGTTCAGAGAATCCTCTCCCACAGACTTATATCTATCCTGGTGTCCTTAAGGAAAAACACACCTTCATTAGTACTCCAGGTGGGAGCACATTTCAAGAATAATCACTTTTTTTAATAGGTCCGCACCCTCAGACATTGAGTTAGAACTGGCTCTCTAGATTTCCTTAAATACAGAGCTGCCTAAAAGAATCTGCAAACCAAAAGAAAATGGGAACCTTGGTAGGTACCGGGAATCTGCCCTCTAATTGTGCCTCCATCCAGGCAAGAGTATTTGCTGCTCTATTTTCTCAGAAGGTCTCCAAGGCCCATTCTACCCCAAACTGCTTAAACTCCAGTGTCTTAAAACAAACATACACAAAGGGCTCTTAGGAAAAGTGTTGTTTTGTCTGTTTTAAGGACATGTAGTTTAGGTGATATGTCCTTACTCTATTCCAAATGTGTGACTGGCATTAAAAAGGGAAATTCTCCAAAGCTTCAGACTACTGCAATGTATACAACTTATGAAAGTGTTCCCTAGGGCTTATAAGAGGTTATAGATTTCTTTTTGCAGCTTTTGATTTGCCTGTGAAGACATTTCACTGAAACACTGAAGAATCATTCCTTTGCCATTCTTAGCACTATGTATGTTCACATATATATTCACATAGCCTTGTCCCTCACTCAGAAATAATGCAACAAAAAGTAGGCAGAGCTTGGCGATACCAAGATTACTCTGACATGGTTTTATGATGGAGGAAACATTTCTGTCCAAGAACCATATTAAACTGAATATGACCTCCCTACCCCTTGGCCCAAATGCAAATGAAAAACCAGTAATTCCAGAAGAATAAAAGTTCTATTCTTTTATTTACATAAGACATAATCTCAGCAAATTCTAACAACTTGAGGCTGAGGTCCGAGTTACCCAATATTTCACATAATGAAAGTGCTTTCAAGATAGCTAGTTAACCCTCTTATTTAACAGATGAGAAAATGAGGGCTAGAAGGAAGAAAGGACTTATTAAGGCTACATACAGTTTTCTGGTAATGGGACTGGGAGCCAGTTTCTGAGCCAGCAAGAGTTCTTTCCTTTCCTGACACCATGACAGCCCTCCTGGACTCCAGGTCTAATACCATGGTTGGAACAGGTGAAAAGAAGATACTCTACGCTAACCAAAATGAATTCTCTAAAATACTTAGCTAATTAATATTGATTAATCAAATGGCTAAGACGTATATAGATTTAGTTCATAGAAAACAAATATTCAAAATGAATTAGACAAAATGAATGCTATCACATCTTGTGCAAAAGAATGCTATTTTAATACATGGCCTTATTATTTGAAGCACTTTTATTACATAACAAAGTCTTGTTTGTACACTAAAGTTAATATTAATTTCAGATTAAAATTAGATGAAATTTTTTTATATTAAACAGTTTTTCAAATCATGGGTGGCAACCTATCATTAGGTCATGAAATCAATTTACTAAGTCTGGAACAAGCATTTAAAACTGAATAGGCTAGAAAATAGAGGTTATCACACATAGTACAGGAAACTATAGTTTGGAGAAACTCTTTCCATTGTATACACACATACACACACGTGTATAGGATATGTATTAGGTCATTCTGTAGATTATGGTCAAGATAGTTTCAAAGCCACTTCAATTTATTGTATTAGGTAGAAAATTATGCCAGAACAATATATTTAAGTTTTTAATGTTCTGACTAAAAAAATTATAAAATTATTGCAGTTTTCCACGTAAAGAACTGAAATAATTTTACATTTTCGTCAACACATTAAAAACATGTTTATGGATACATACACCTGTAGTAAAATTTATTTTTTTAAATATGGCACTAACTGAATTTAGAATAGCAATTACCTCTAGAGGGAGAAGCAAAGGGATAGGCCTGCCTTAGCTATATATACTATTCTACTGCTTAATAAACAAAAAAATTGAAGCAAATAAGGTAAAATATAAACATCTATTAAATTTGGCTGGTAGCTTTCTGGATTTCTATATGTCCTGTGTTTTTTGTAATGTTTTACATTTATATATATATATCACATTTTTAATTCCATAAAAAAATTTTTTATTACATGTCTTTTATTCCCTAACATATACTGAAGACATGGTTGATATATCATAACAGGTGCAAGAAATTTATCTATTACTAATTACTTTAACAATGACTCCATGATTTAATATTTTTTTTAGGCGAGGTAACCTTTGGTTGACCTCACAGATTGCAAGGACCTTGTCAGCTTACAAACTCTTATTTTTTTTTTATTTTTTATGCCTACAGCATCTGGTCTTCATAGGTGGTCTCCCATCCAAGTACTAACCAGGCCCAACCCTGCTTAGCTTCCAAGATCAGACAGGATCGGGCTTGTTCAGGGTAGCATGGCCGTAGACAATGATTTAATATTTAAACAGCAAGATTGAAGTAGAATTAATTACTGTAATTTGACTCTGAATCTTCTTACAACAGAGGTTGAATTGGTCTTGACAAAATATGAGTAGGGCCTGAGCTTAAAAGAACATCTACAAGACCTTCGACAACTACTCAGAAGTACACACACTCACACACAGAGCTGTATTGTCAATACACTGACTTAGCACTTCAGAGTTTACTTAGAACTCCCAAATGTATAATCTCATTTATACTGACATAATATTTGCTCAAGCCACAATTCCTTCTGCATCCACTCTAGTCCCTTTCCAGATCTGTCTCTGTATTCTCTGCACTGCTACCCTAACGCAAGCTGGAAAACAGACGCACATCCAAGCCAACTTGTAAATCAGTAACCAGACTGGAAATCACTAACAACATTTCACAGCCAAGTCAAAAGCAGAGCCTGAATCTTTGATCCTTTCCTAATCTACTCTATTTTGAAGTAAACAGTGTAAACAATACTGAGGGTAAATGGCATAAACTCATCTAACTATCCTGCCCTGTGGGGACATTTTTAAGGTGAACCATTGGACCCTGGGCCTTCATTATGCCACTTCTCAAACTTTTTCCCTCCTATGTTTCACTCACCCCACTCCCACTCCTGCCATTAAGCCAACTATATCATTCTTGTTCATTCCCATCTAGACCTCAGTGGTCCTGTAGCCTCTTGTCTCTGACCCAAACATTTTCCCCGAAGTTAGAGCATAGTGGCTAAGTCTATTTTGAACTCTAATAACCACGTAACTCTGCTTCCTTGCTTAGAAGAGCATCAGTAGAAAGAAATGTACTTTATCCTTCAATTAAGCATATAGCTGCCTCCTCATCCAGCTGCAAACTCTTTGGTGCAGGGGCCCTGTGGGACTAATTTCTGCACTTTTCCAACAATTAGCGCTGGATGTAGCATATGTTAAGACATCCAGAAATGCATAATAATAGAAGAAAAAAAAAAGAAAGAAAGAAAACTGATGATTAAGATCAAAGAACAATAAGAGTTCCACAAACAAAAGAAAACAATATTATGAACAGAATTAAGTTCTGCCCTTACTATGGCATCACAGAGAAGTACAAAATTTGTCAAATACCATTTAAATAAAAACTGGAAACATCCCCCAATTCTATTAAAAGAAACAGAACTTTAATGATTTTCTTAAATCCAGATATGTCCATATAAGTATATAGTGAATTAGTTTATATTAAGCCAAGCAAATCTCAGAAATGGAAACAGATTTTAGACAGACATAAATTAGATAGAGATGCTTTCTCTCACTCTCCTTCCCCCTCCCTCTTTCATATATATTTATATAAACACACACACACACACACACACACCCCATCCATTTTCCTTGACGAGAAAGATGATTCTCATTCACTGTGGAGCCCCCTAAACAAACAAATGGCATACTGTGCACCTATTTATTCAACAAACATATTTATTCAACAAATATTTTTATTCAACAAACATTTGCAGAGCGCTATTTTAGGATGAATAAGTCACTTCCAAGACATCAGGGAGGTGGCAAAAAGGTAAATAGGCACAATATAATTTGATAAATGTTATAAAGACCTTTAGAAAATTCTTTTAAGGTATAAACAAAAGAGCAGTTATGCTTGTTATGAATTGGAGGTAGCGGTGTCTTCGGCAGATCATACCAGGACACCTCAAAGTAGTTAATATACAAAACTAATCACAAAGAAAGGTTAAAATTCATATAGGCAGAAGAGGTAAACACTCTTGGCCAAGGGACCAATTAACTATACAAACTAAAAGAGATGTGAAGAAGTTAATTCCCCTTCTGTCATTCTTTTACCCACATCCCCAAACTTTCTGAAAATACAATTCCTATGACTCAATCTTTTACAAGCTTCCACCCACATACAAGTGTCTGGATTAATAATACATTCACTAGCAGCTATTTCCTTCAACTGTGTCTGTATTGCCTTTTATGTTCTGGTATAATTTTGTGAATTAGTCTGTTTTTGTGTAAATGCTATTAGTAACAGATGGAATGCATACTCATTGTTTTGAGAGCAGGGAGTATGTTTGCTTTCCTTTGCTCTGTACACACGAAAACACTCTATAAATGAAAAAGATATTCCAGA